TATTCATATAAAATATAAAGATTTAAAAAAAAGATTTCAACGAGAACTGCATGTTTCGGGTTTGGTGGGTCTTTCTTCGTAAGCATCAATTTCTTTTAGGCATACTAGGCACCACTCAAAACTTCGACTTAATAAGTTTGTTAATATAAAAGGGTATTAATAGGCAAGCACAAACATCTTCGTGTCTACTCAATGACCATGCATCACTAAAATTTTGCAGACCCAAGGTCAACCAAAGATCATCAGAGGCTGTAGTTAAGGTTTTTATTAACCATGTTGCCAGTAGTGTCAGATTTTGTTGTCTGAGATTTAATATACCTACTTTCCCTTGTTGTTTAGGAAAAGTAATTGTTTCTCATGCCACCTTTGACATACACCCTTCATGTTCTTGTGCTTTTGGCTTCCAAATAAAGCGTCTTTCTGCTTTCTAGATTATCTCATATGCCTTGTCTCCGATAATATGAAATGCTAACGTAAACCACAACACTCATCCTGCAACAGTTTAGAGAACCAGGGTCCGACCTAATAAAGATAGATGTATTGTCTGTTTCCAAATGACTATTCAGTTGCAGTACTTATCCACCAATATGACATCTTGAAACTCTGAATTGTCTGCCAGGGACACTTACACTCCCAGAAAACGTTAAGATGAGTCAGCAGACACAATTTTTAATTCTTAGTTGAATTTCAGGTTATAAGTAGGTGGTGAAAAGTACGATGACTTATTCCAATTAATAATGGTCTCTGATTGTTTGCTATAGGTATTTAGGACTGATCTTAATGTTGTTAGGTTATCTCTATTGTTTTGACAGGCAATGGCTAAGTCATCCCGCCAAGGTTCCCCTTTTCCATTGGATGCAGTTTTTAAGATTCAACCCTCGTAATTTCGTCGTTAAACCGGATATTGTCTAATAGGATTTTTCAAGTGCACTACAAAAAGGAGAGGGGCCAAAGGACAACCTTGCCTTAGAGATCTAGTAAGAGATAATTCCTCTAATTGTTGACCGTTTACCATCACAGTGATTGCCGCGTCATAATACATTGAGTTAACCCATCGACAGAAAGGATGACCAAAACCCTTATGTTTCAGGGTGGTCATCACAAAAGTTCATCCAACGCGATTGTGAGCCTTTCCATATTGAGGAGGAGAATTGTCACGTCCAGATTGTCCTTCGTTATAAGTTTCAGGGTCTGGATGGTTGCTACAATGTTATCAATTATACTTTTATATTTCACGAAAGCCCCCTATTATTTACCAATGAGGTCTGACAGGTATCTCGCTAGCCGTAGGGTCATAGTTTTTCCTATCAATTTATATGAAGCATTTAGAAGGATATTGATCGTCGATTTTAGATTTATTTCTTATCTTTTTTTTTAAACAATAGAGAGATTACCCTTTTCATCATACTTTCATTCAATTTCGTCCCTGTGAGAACTTTATTAAATATACTTAACAGTATTGGACCCAATTGAGGTCATAAAGTCAAATAAACCTCAATCAGGAGGCCATGAACCCCATGATATTTACTTTTTGCCTAGGCTACCAGCCGAGCCGCCCGGGTCACCTTGTGTTGCCCGTGCGGATGGTCCCAGCAAAAAAATAAATAAAAAATTCAATCCCAAAAAATCCGAAAACAAACTATGTTATGCAAAAAAATAAACAGAACAACTTTTGCCTCAGGGTCATATCAAAATTCGTTACCAATTTAAAAATAAAAATACAAATTAAAAAATACAATTTTATTTTTATTTATTTTAATCCTTTTTGGCCCGGTCGGGCAAGTGGTCCCGGGCCACTCTGGTGGCCTAGCCTTTTGCCATTTTATTAGCAGCTACTAATAATTCCTCTAGCGTCAAAGGTTTGTCAAAATCCAAGCGCGCTCTTAGAGAGATATTATTCTTACAGGGTTTTCAAAAGGTGCTTGTTATTCTTAAATCGGAGTCCATGTCATCATATGTTCTAAAATATCTTCGAAAATAGTTTGGCAAATTCACACAACTGATGTAAATCCTCGGAGATTATCAAATGGGTGGAGAAAGGATGTGATAGTTCTTCCATTGGTAGGTATGTTTTTTGTAGTATCAACCGTCGAAATATTTCTTTACTTATTTTGTCGTTTGTGATTACATTCTTTCGGTTTAGTCATTCTTTTCATTGTTCTTGATCTTGAATGTGCATTATTTCCAATTTGTATTTTCGGAGTCATTGTTCAATATGCATATGATACCTTATTTTGACCCAAAATGTTCTATAATTTTAATTCTATAAATGATGTATTTATCATCCCTGCTTTGTTTTACGCTCTAATATATGAGAAAATATTGAAGGATCGGTGCATTATGTAAATTTATACCTCTCCCCACTCATTCGCCTCAGAAAACAACTCCTTCACGCTCTGTCAAGTCTCAAGTTGATTCTGCGTCCATTGGATGACACTTGGGTCCTTCATAAGAATCACATTCAGTCTATAGTAGCCTGGGCCCCTTTTAGTAGCTTCACTGATTTGAAAGACCCTCACCATTGGTCTGTGATCCGAGATGTATGAGAAATGTATATCTACATCTGTGTATTCCTGCCATGGCTAACCTTTCATCAGAAGGTAGTCCAATCTTCTTCGGGCTGGTCGGGTCGGTGAACCAAACCAAGTGTAAGCTTCGATGGAGCGTTCGATAGGCTTCGACTAAATTTTGTGATATTATAAAGTTGTGCAACAATTTGCTGTCTAATCTGACCAGACCCAATCTGATCAGACCCACCTTAGGGTTATCTAGTCCTAGATTCAGAATAGTGTTCCAGTCGGCTGCAAGGATGATATTTTCGGAATTCGGTAATAAACCAAGGAACTCTGATAAAAATATCAATCTCTCTCTATAGTCCACTGGAACATAAATTGACGTAATGGTCCAGTCTTGGGACCCAACTTCAAATTTCACCCATACTCACCTGCCCCCTAAGTCCACCATGAAGTCAATAGTTATTGCATCCAAATTCTTGTGAATTCGAACCGTCGTCCCTCCTTTTGTGCCATGTTCACCCGAATTGTTTTGCAAGCGGGCAACGGGCCCACGCAACTCTAAATGATTTTATTATCTTGAGCTGAAGGTAGTTGGATTCGAACTTGAGTCTGTTTTTCAACACTTAAGAGGATGTACCAACTAAGATAGGCCCATTGGTGACTCAATTATCTGTTGAATCTGAACAGGACAGCCTTTCATGCCTTTTTATTACCATTTTGATATTAAACCACCAGTACCTGGCCCAACTATCGAGTCCGAGCCTCGGCCGACCGGTACGCGGATCCGTGCCGAGGCTCGGACTACCGGGCGCAGACATCCCGAACATGCAAAACGTACACAACGAAAAAAACGGGCAAAAAAAACCAAAAAAAAACAAAGAAATAAGAAAAACGAACCGAACGTGCAAAAGGTACACAACACAGAAAACGGGAAAAATAAATTAAAAAAAACAAAGAAATAAGAAAAACGAATGGGTTCATCTTCCCGCTATCGTTTCGAAAAACGAAACGGGAATGCATTCCTGTTTCGTTTCTCGAAGAGAGAGAGAGAGAGAGAGAGAGAGAGAGAGAGAGAGAGAGAGACCTGTCTCTTATACACATCTAGATGTGTATAAGAGACAGCTTTGTATCTTGTTGACTTGCGGCCATCGAATCTGGGA